TACTAACCTAAACACACGCACGCACCAGGTGTGTGTGATTTTCACACAGCAAAACGTATTTATCAACCAAAAAGTCTCTAAAAGCATATTTCCACTAATGCCATATATGGAAAAATCATGCACATGATGCATATATAATGCTGCTTCACAGTTTAGACAAAAATGGTTAGCTAATGCATTTACATTCCTGCATTTATCAACGCAAGCAACATAACATAGAGCTAATTTACACCACATTACCTTGCAATTCATTGCAGGGCTTTGCACAACACACCTGCTGGGTGTGTACACACTACAAAGGTGTTTCGATTCCTCCCATAGATCATGCTGGGAGGGAACACACTACAGAGGTGTATACACGTTCATGGTGTGTTTATAAGGTTAGTAAATCAACCCCATAGTCTCTCTTACAAATTCTCATTCAGTGTAAGTCCAAACAAATAGAAGTGACAAGTTGTTTCCAAGAGAAGATAAAGTGAAAAATAAATAAACATAAAGTTTCTTTCCAAATGTTAAGTGCAACAAAAAGTGCTACAAAAAAAGTACTTCAAGTGAAAAAAATATATGTTCCAAATTCGGTGCTCCTTAACGTGTTCAGCAGGAAAAATCCCCCAATAGGGTATGCACTCACCGCAAAGTAGGACTGTGTAAGAACAGCCAGCACACTCTTTGATTTAAACGGAGTAGTATCCAACGTCCTCAGTCCTTCAAACCCGTTATAGTCCGGTATTTAACTCTGATATGCATCCATAAAAATGGTTGTGTAGTAGGCAAAAAAGTTATTTAAACAGAAACAGTACACACTTACATTAAAATTAGTAACAGCCGGCCGGCAAACCGCGTCTCCCCAGACTGAGACTAAAAGTGTGATGTCAAAAAAGGCCCACACCCTCAATCTATAGAGTTTAAAGTCCAATGCCAGGTCCAGTCTACAGAGTTTAAAGTCCAATGCCAGGTTCAATCTTTAGAGTTTAAAGTCCAATGCCAGGTCCAGTCTACAGAGTTTAAAGTCCAATCCCAGGTCCAAACTACAGAGTTTAAAGTCCAATCCCAGGTCCAGACTACAGAGTTTAAAGTCCAATCCCAGGTCCATCAAAAAAGTTATTTAAACAGAAACAGTACACACTTACATTAAAATTAGTAACAGCCGGCCGGCAAACCGCGTCTCCCCAGACTGAGACTAAAAGTGTGATGTCAAAAAAGGCCCACACCCTCAATCTATAGAGTTTAAAGTCCAATGCCAGGTCCAGTCTACAGAGTTTAAAGTCCAATGCCAGGTTCAATCTTTAGAGTTTAAAGTCCAATGCCAGGTCCAGTCTACAGAGTTTAAAGTCCAATGCCAGGTCCAGTCTACAGAGTTTAAAGTCCAATCCCAGGTCCAAACTACAGAGTTTAAAGTCCAATCCCAGGTCCAGACTACAGAGTTTAAAGTCCAATCCCAGGTCCAGACTACAGAGTTTAAAGTCCAATGCCAGGTCCAGTCTACAGAGTTTAAAGTCCAATGCCAGGTTCGGTCTACATAGTGAAAAGTCCAATGCCAGGTTCAATCTATAGAGTTTAAAGTCCAATGCCAGGTTCAGTCTACAGAGTTTAAAGTTCAACACCAGGTTCAGTATAAAGTCCAATGCCAGGTGTAGTGTACAGAGTTTAAAATCCAACGCCAGGTTCAGTATAAAGATTTTAAAGTCCAATGCCAAGTTCAGTCTATAGAGTATAATGTCCAATGCCAGGTCCAGTCTACAGAGTTTGAAGTCCAATGCCAGGTACAGTCTTCAGAGTTTGAAGTCCAATGCCAGGTCCAGTCTAAAGTTTAAAATCCAAGGCCAGGTTCAGACTACAGAGTTTAAAATTCAACTCCGGGTTCAGGAAAAAAATAAAAACAATATTGACCATGTCTATTTTAAATATGAAAGCAGCCTTGGCTGGAATACTCACCTACTCTCTGATGCTGTCCTCAGCAGAATCTCCGTTCCATTATGCCCAGCATTAACCCACTTACGGTGAGCTCAGGCTGTCATGGACCCACCCCCTGGGGAGTACAACATAAAGCTGCCCTGCACCGGAGAATGCAGGAAAAAACTTAATTCATGTCATTATCTGAGGGACTGTCTCTGCAGTGTTCAGGACAACCCAAAGAATATCAGAAGATAAGGAGGACTCTGTCATCACATGGCTTGGCTAAGGACATTTAGGAAAGGGGAGTATACTAAGTGTTTAGGAAAAAAATGTGGCAAGGGGTGAGCCTCTGGTTTGGTTTGTCCATGCATTTGACCCAAACTCAAGCTGTTCAAAGTTTGCAGTACGTACAGGTGAGTGATTTTTCCAGTCTGCCTGCCTGCTGAGCCTCTGTCTGTATCCTAGCAGCAAATGATGTTCTGTAACCTACATAGCGGCATTAGTTTATTGGTGGCTCACCTGCACAGCATCACTGGTTGCTAGGACACAGACAGGCACACCATAACAACCTATGATGCTATTGGGCTGCCAGTATCTTAACAACCAATGACACTGTGTGGGTCGCATAGCATCATTGGCTGCTAAGATGCTGGCAGCCCCACAATGACAATGGTTGTTCTGGTGCACCTGCCTTTAAAAAAAAAAAATAATAATAAATAAATTGTTAAAAAAAAAAACTCGATGCCTGGCGACCCGTCCGTATGCAACGAACTTCCACCGCAGAATGACATTCTGACAGATGCTGGCAAAATATAAACAATTGGGCGGAGCTAGCAGTGATATCACCGCTAGCTCCGCCCAACTGTTTACATTTGTCCGGCACCTGACAGTCTGCCTGCAGGTCCGGGACAAATCAAAACACATGGGCAGAGCCAGCTGTGACATCATGGCTGGCTCTGCCCTGCTGTTGCCATCTGTGGGGAGAACGGTCGGCTTCGGACGACTTTCTCCCTGCTTCTGCTGTCATGCCTGCTTCTGCTCAGCCAAGCCGAAGCATATGCCTTCGGCTGCTGTAGGGGCTATTGTGAATAGCCCCTACCACAGCCCATTGGTTTAACTGAACCGAAGGGCTCCGGTGAGCCGAAGAATCAGCCGAAGCTATAGCTGGATCCTTCGGCTCTTGTGAATAACCCCCTTAATGTCAATCGGTTAGGCTTTTCATCTATTATAAATAAACCTGAACTATAGAGGTTTATTATTGGGGTCCATCCATCCAAAACTGATGTTACATATTTTGGTAGATTCTGGAGAGTTAAATAACCTGTCGTTTTTTTTTTTATCTCACTCTTGTGGTGGTATCTCTAGTCTTGATGACACCATGAACTTTATAGTAGGAGTTGCCAAGCTGAACAAGAACATAGCCACAAACTATTGGAGGGAAGTCTCATTTATGACATCTACAAAGAGATATAGGAAGCCTATTGGGGACTTATCTCCCCAGACTCCACTTGTAACTGAAATATCCCTTTTTAGAGGACAGACCCAAACTTATTTTGAGAGCAGTAGGGTGCAGTAGCCAATAGCCAACCAACCAAAAAGAAATTAACTTTTGGCAGTATACCTAATGGTGGCCATACATGGAGAAATGTTATATAGATGATCATACTTTCAATCGATTCGGTGACTGGGAGAGAAATTACAATCAGGTGACCACCAGCTTGGAAATGAACTCATAAGATGTGATCACTCCATGAAATTGAAACTGATCAAAAACAAGATAACGGAAATAAAAGTTTAAGCCCCGATCCACACATTCCAATCCTGTGTGACTGTAGAATGTTGTGCTCTGATTTGGGGGTGCCTTAAATTACTGATGAACAACTGAATCTTAAATACGTGTTGGGTTTATTTACAAATAGGGATATACATACAGTCTAATACAATTAAGGGGATTGAAACGGGAATTGGGGATAGGAATTGAGGTTAAGGATCCTACAGCTTGCTACCCCATTCTCTCTCTCTCATTCACACAAGCCATGGGTTTTTCTCTGTTCTTCGGACACGCCTCTCCAGCAGGTCTCAGCGAATCACATTCTTGATTGCAGAGTTCAGAAAGACTTGTCTTGTCCAAAGGTCTTGCTTGTCAGCTAGGTTAGTGTCACACAGGAAGAAGGTTCCATCATATGCCCCTGCCCCCATCCCAGCATATATGCCTTGCTGACACAGGTGAGGGCAGTAAATACCAGCAGGGGGTCGGGCTTGCCCCAGGACATGACAGTCCAGCAGATCTCCTTTGATCAGTGTCCAGCCCCAAAAACCCTTTGATGGTCTTCATTTGCATATCAAACAGCAATGGGCAGCTCACGATATTAAGGAACCTTTCCATCAAAGATGTATCATAGATGTCAATTATTTTAGCTTCCAACAGTGACCATTGCTAAATAAACACAAACCACATGAATAGATTGTTCAAGGTGCCATACATGCAACAATTGTATGGTTTTACCTACAATGCAATATGATTTTCCACCCAGACTGATCTAAATAGATCAATGACACAGTGTGGGGTATTAAACAACTTGTATTATGGCCACTAGATGGAGCTGAAGAGCTCACCTGAGATCCATCTAGTGGCTATAATAAGGTATTGTTCGAATGTTACATTCGACCTGAAAATATACTAAAAACTTTCCATTTTGCCTCTATTCACATAGAAGAAACGTTTATAGAGATTTGCAGGTTAAAATATTCACCCCCACCACTATGTCTTTTCAATAATTATTACATTTTCGATCACAATATACAAACCTGTAAAGAATAGTCATATCATGACTTATATGGCCACCATTAGAACAGACTGACTAATCTGATTTCTTCCTGTAGGATAATACGGTTACAAACTTCTTCTTTACATTATATTATCAAATAAACCCGTATGTGTCAAACAACACTACGATGGTTCTGTGTAGGAATGTCAGGCCAGTTTGACTAGATTGAGTGCTAACTAAACAAACTGCTCCAGCTCCGAGGCCTTGATTGCTGATCTCTGCAGTTTAAACGCTCCTGAAATGACTACGTGACATCATCTAATCCCCATCCTATTTGGAAAGTTGCACCCGTGGAAAGTTACTGGCTGTGGTAATGTCTGAGCATCAACAAATACAAGTGAGATCACCCATTATTTGCCCTATCACCAAGCACATCAGCTCAGCACAGCCTACCCTCCATTGTGTGCAAGTTAATCTTCTGCATGTGGCTGTGTGATTCACCCGACGGTATATGAGAGCCTGCAGTGTGGGCACCTTCTGCAATTCCGAAGTGGGAGAGAAGATGGCATTGAGGGTAAGTGTTACACATAATAATGCTACTACTAACAATAATAATAATTATAATAACAGTAACAATATATATTGCAGCTTACCAGTCCTTAGATGAGGTGGCTGCATTAGTTTCCCTTTTTCAGGCTTATTTCCTTTATCGGAAAGGCCAGTAACAGTAACACACTTATTTAGGACTAACAACGTTCACTCACTGTACTGTATCTATGGAGGAGCAGCGTTGGCACACTAGGGCAGCTCTATAGAATTCATTTAATGTATGTACATTTTTTTGAGGAAATTGAATCTTAGCATGTTAGTTTCAGTTTAAGGATGACCTTTCCCTTTAAATTTCTTTAGGGTCAAATATTTTATAAGAGGTCCAGAAGTGTACGTAGGATTTGCATTGGACTTCCCTGTTTATTTTGCACTTTCCTTTGACTGGAAATACTCGTCAATAATTCCCATTTGATGTGCAAAAAAAATCAACTAAATCAACTCTCGTTTTATATGCAATTGAAATTCAGCCATAAATGTCGCTCTTTATCTCTTCCGCTGCTCATTTTCTATCAAACAGCTTGTGACAGTTTTAATAAAACCCAAATTAATTATTCAGTACATTCGATTTTTTTTCTCAGAACATGATATATTTCTCATGCAAACACTTCATATGCGAGCCACGTCAAGCTGTTGGAATTTTAAATGCTTTTGTTATTTTACTATTTATATATTTTAACAATTTTTTTTTCTTTTTTTATTCCTTTCATTTATATGGAGCATTACAGAGAACACGGAACTAATTACAATAGTTCCCTGAAGCCAAACAAGCCAAGAATTGTTATCTGTAATAGTCTGAATTTGTTGCTCATAAAGTGAACCGGGTGCACACTAAAGTATTTACACATTCTGGTCAAGCAGTACAAGCACTTTAAAACAACCCTTCATTCACCTCTTTAGCTATAGGCATTGTGAAGAAATTTCACAGCAGAGGTACAGAAATATAAAGGGTCTATTTATAAACAATTGGCAAAGCCATGTGGCCTATGAATCTGTAAACGTTCGTGTGAGTTGAGGCAGAAACAAACATTGTTAGTATATTTTCTTTTCATGTCAAATGCAATTTTTGGAAAATACCACATTATAGCTACTAGATGGAGCGGTGAAACTTAGACTCCTGGTTCTGCCAATTGTTTATAGAAAGACCCCTTAGATTTTTTTCCTGTTACTTTTTATTGCACTAGATTCTTGGCTGCCCGTCAGCCCTCTAACATAACCACACAGCAGGTGTTTCTAAGCTGTTAGAAACTGACCGAAACCTTAAGGTGGCCATCACACGCTAAAGAGCATGGATGGAATTGTCAGGATCCAGAGCACCCCCAGGTGGCGCTGGCATGAGGTGTGAGGACGCCTGTACACGGTACCCTGACAGGAATCTCAACTGCCAGCTATTGTATTCTGACAGCTGGCACCAACGGAATACCCAAATAGTGACTTCAGCTGACTGCCTGCGGTAACTTTTTAGCCAGCAGTTTTCCACCCTGCTTCTTTGACAAAAGCTGACTTCAAGCCAATCCAGCAGTTTTCAATATTCTGTCCATCTACTAGGGGGTAACATGTAAAGCTGGCCATACACCAGTAGAATTTCATTTGAAAAAATGTGTTTTTGGAAAGTTCGTTTGATTTTCTAATAGGTAATGGAGTTAAATTGACGATTGATTATGACCATAGAGATGTAAAAAAATTAATCCTTTTGTATAGAAAGTTATCAAACCTTACAAATTATGAGCAACCATTTTTTTGGTCCCTAGATTCTGGTGCCAACCCAACTTGAGTTTTAAGGAATTCAGGCAGAAAATCAAGGGTACTATGCTTAATGTTAAGCTCATGGCTCCGGATACTAACAACATTTTTGAAGACGTGGGGGGTGATTTACTAACCTAAACACACGCACGCACCAGGTGCGTGTGATTTTCACACAGCAAAACGTATTTATCGACCAAAAAGTCTCTAAAAGCATATTTCCACTAATGCCATATATGGAAAAATCATGCACATGATGCATATATAATACTGCTTCACAGTTTAGACAAAAATGGTTAGCTCATGCATTTACATTCCTGCATTCATCAACGCAAGCAACACAATGTAGAGCTAATTTACACAACATCACCTTGCAATTCATGCACAACACACCTGCTGGGTGTGTACACACTACAAAGGTGTCTAGATTCCACCAATACATCATGCTGGGAGGGAACACACTACAGAGGTGTATACAGAGGTGTATGTAACATCTGATGTCATGATGATGGGTAAGGAGAACCAGGCAATCAAACTCTCATAAGCAGTAAAAAATCCCCGCTAACCGAAATCCATTAAAAGCAGTGAAAGCGCTAAAAGTAATATGCTGAAACACATTGGTAAAACACTCAGTCAACATCAGAGATTTAACACACCACATCTATCTGTTACATTTAATGCCTTCACAGTATTTAATGGATTCCAATGAAGAGCGTTTATATGGTGGTTATTAAGGTTTGACTTCAGGATGCTCTTACCTGGTGCCATCAATCCGGCAGTAGGTTAGTGTGATGACAGACCTGATAGAAGCTGTTAGAAATGGCCACTATCATTCATTAGCAGGCTCCTGGAGGACTGAATGCTATAAAGGGTGTCGTAAAGCAGCTCTTGGCATATGGCCTGATCAAGGTGTATTTCCCTAGTGAATTGGTGGATGGTGAACCTTCTCCCCAATTCTTTTGTCCCTACCGTGAACATATGAAATAGTTAATTCTGAAAACATTAGGCATGTCTATAGACATTAGATTACTTTTTAAGGCTGAATTAGATGTTGATCCAATGTATATAAAAGCAGTACAGAAAATCACTGAATGTTAAATGGGGAACTATGTGATTGAGCAGGTTGGAAAACCTTTCCCTTTTTTTTCCTGGAACCTTCTCCCTCCTCATACAACTACAGTGATCCAGATTATGTAAAAAAAAACTGGCCCAGAAGACATTGGGAGGTGGTTGGATGATGCCTGCATGCTGACCGTTCTCTAAAGCTGATGTTTAATCTGCTTATATTTTTATTTCCCTGGTTACTCCTTTCTCCTCCATAATCAACAGGTTAAAGGCATTGTGAAATAAGTAAATTCCATTATCATTACATACCTTTGAGACCTTATTTTAGCATATCATGGGGGGAGAGGGGGGACTAAGAGCACCCCCACCCGGCTGATAGCTCAACCCAAGCAGCATTCTGGACTGCATTAACCCACCACTCCTTCCTTCTCCTGGATGCCTGGATCAAGTGGCAAATAGAGTAGGGACGACCCTGAGCAGGGTGCTGTACATAGCTTGCTGAAAACATCAAAGCACCCTGCCTCAGGATAAAGAGACTTGATGCAACAGTCAGTTGGCTTTTGGGGGTAAGCGGGGGAGG